GTTATAAATCTCTAATCTATGGAAATAATAGCGACACAGCTATTTCAATGATCATAGGAACTCTCCTCTGAAAGCGGAGACTACCGTACATTCAATGGAAGCATGTCTTTGAAGAGTTTTTATGCGATGCTAAACTGGTTTATATAATGGTATAAAGCATATTGTGATTTTTGTCAGTTTTGATAAGAGACACGTCCTTGAAAGCAAAACGTGAATTGATCTCACGTCAGCGTTGACCTTTAATAAGAATAACTCCTAAATATAAATACTGTTTCCTATTATGGATCTATGTGTAATAATAAAACGTATGCTGTTTTGCAGAGAAGGTCGTATGGAAATAGCAATATGGTCTTGGTTCTAGGTGCGTATAAAGGTCTCATAAGTACGTTAACGTGACTTGACGTGATACGTTATTTCGTGACCTTCATTGGTGTGCCTAATCCACATTTTCTTCACCCACTTAACGATAGGCTTGTATGATATATACCTTGATCGTACGATGTCTGGGGGATATAGTATCATAAACCTCACCACGGTGTCTGGGAAGGCTTGGGCCTGTGTCGCCGACAACGCGTCACGTCGTCACGTCAAGAGGCAGCCGGCTGTCGCCTGTACTTCGATACTTGATACAGCTACACAGAAAATCAAAACGAACTTTGGCAACCCGCAACAATACCTTCGATCAGCAATCGTAATCAATAGGAGACCTTTGCTCCTGTAGGTCATGCACTGTTTTTAAACGCCATGGCTCGTGACATGTGATTACGTCATGGGGCGTATCAGGTAATGTCGCCTGTTGCCGTTTTAATCAAGGGGGGTAACTCTAGACTGTTTCCTGTCGATTAAATGCGATATTGTATGATAGAGAACATTATGATTGCTAAACTTTCATGGAGGCAGTTTTCCAGTCCGTTATCGAATATCAGTAATTGAATTTGTAAACCAATTAACACTCGCGTAACAACGAGCCGGACTTTGATAAACATCAAAAGGAAATCTAGTTATACTCCCATTTCGCTTCGAACAGCATTAATCATATAAAATGACTCAAAATGTATTCCCACTTGTTTACTTGTGAAATAATGTTTTCGGTCAGGCGAACGGGAAAAAATTAGACTCTCTGTTTTGGTTGCTTAATGGTATTGTAGTACCTTGGCCACTCCCCGGGGGAAAACATAAGGGGGAAATATAAAAGAAATAGCTGACCCGGAGAAGTATCATGTAATAGTTAAACTGTGATTGGAAGAAGGACTCAGTATTGAAACGCTGTGTGAGTACACACAGACCATCAGCATGCACATTGAATAAGTACATAGCGTCTTGCTGGGAGACTTAATGCTTAAGATTAACCCTCTTGTACTTTCTGGTTTAGGCTATGCCTTAGAATTAATTGGTGTGACGATCTTTCAGATCAGAACTCCTTGAAGAAAAGTGTTGGCTTATGTTGGGATAATTACAAAACTATATCAAAAGCTTTATCGTCCTTCATGGGATAATTACATGCAAAGCATGTCTAAAATTGTATTTAATGCTTAATATACTCAAAATTGAAGTGAGTGACACACAAGTAAAGGCCGTTGATAGCACGTGGTGACATCTCACCGGGGTTGAAGCTGAAAGGCAAATGAGTTTTGGATTAAAAAGGTATATGATAATAGTTCAGGAGCATGAAGTGAAAACTTTAATAGACCTGCAGCAATATAAAAAATATATCCATTAATTTGCGTTGTCATTTATGCATAAAGTAAACTGGGGAAGTAAACTTTTGTTTGCTGTAATAACATGTATTTCTTTTATTAAAGCTTTGAAAAATATGTCACGTCTTCAAGGTCACCACTCGGTCTTTGATGTATCTGTCCCTAATAGTCATTTTGAGATAACTTCAAACAACTGTAATGGTTTTTGAACAGTTTGAAATTTTAGCATCTTTCAACCGTCTACGTTTCTGTGTGGAGTCTGTTTTGAATTACGAAATTCTTTTGTTGCTAAGTGACTTTTTCCAACATGGCGACGAGTTAATACTATGTGTTCAGAAGGCACGCTGTGCACATATTCCCATCAGAGTGCAAAGATGTTGATGAAACGTATGGAAATACGTTCATGAATGCCATATCGGTTAATTAACAACATTTTAATGTATATTTACAACGCCAGCTTTTGATAGACGATTCATTCAGAATATGATGGAAACGCACGTCTATGCTTGCCATGTAGGTTAATTAACAAATGTATATTTCCAACGCCGGTTCTTGATAGATGATTCATTCAAACTCTGATGGAAACGCCTCATCTACAAAGACATTGTTGCGATTTAAAAGTTTAATTCCAAAAGGAAACGTATTAATTTCCGCATTTGTTCATCCTCATCAATCAGTGCCGGATCGGAGGCACTGAAGCCTTAAATGGAATTCCGGCCTAGTTAAACAACCTCTGCCCTGTATTTACTACCCCAACCTAGATTGTTTGCCTTCTCAGAGAGCGGATCTTTGAGATTCAAAGTACAAAGACAAATTACGTAATGACCACTAGACAGCGTAAAGTCAACAGCTAATAGAGATGAATAAGGACTTCTTGTGACGGAGCGACCACTGTTTAACTTTACACTGAGACTTATAGCAAATATAAATTAACAGTACCTTTAATCACCTGTAAATATGTAGACAGTTTGTTCTCTGGTAGACTAACGCTTAGTCTCTGAATATATATATATAATTTTGATAGTAACAAATAAACCCATTTAATTTAAAAGTAGCCCCTCTTGAGTTTTGGTCTGAGATTCTAGGACTAACGCTTAGTCTCTGAAATCTAGAACTTGCTTCATTTCTAGGGCTTTAGCATTGCAGGAGGGGAGGGCTAGGCAGTATGGAAATAATGTGGTTCAGGGACTGTGATAGACTAACGCTAAGTCCCTGAATATATATATTTTTGATAGTAACAAATAAACCCATTTAAATTGAAAAGGAGCCCCAGTGAGTTGGGAGATTCTGGGGAAAATCTAGACTTGCTCTATTTAGGGCTTTAGCATTGCAGGGAGGGCTAGGCAGTAGGGAAATAATGTGGTTCAGGGACTGTGAGATAGACTAGTTTTCTGGCTGACTAGGGACGGGTGGTGTTCACTTATTAATGCATGAATAGTTACATGTTATAAAGTGACTGTTGTTTGTTAATGTCTCAGATATAACAGTTACATATTATAAGTATATGTTACACTGTTCGGTGTTTGACATTTTTAAAATGTGTGTCTCATTATGTGTCTCATGAATAAAGATGTGACGTGCAATATATGTCGGACACTTTGATATATGTCATATGAATAGACATGTGACGTTATAGGGTCTGTCTCACAGTGTTTGATTTGTGACACGAATACGTGTAGGACATGTTATAAAGTACCAAGTCCCAGGATTTTGATATGCGTTATTTTGTAAGGTATGTGTAACGTTGTTTAGTGCGTGACATTGCGTACATAAGTCGTGGATATGTCATAAGCAGGAATGTCCATAGGTTCTATAATGTTATTTATATTTAACATGCAATTAGCATTTAGTAGCGGGACTTGAATATTTCATAGAGACAATAGTGTACTTTCAAAATGCAAGTAATGAACAATTTCAAGAACTGTTGTGAGGGAGTATTGTTTTACATCACTTTTAGCAATAATCCAGCAATATTGCTGAGGGAGGCACCAGAAACGGGTTCCACACATTGTGTGGAATCGAACCGGGGATAACGGCGTGATTCTTAACGACTTTAACCACTAGGCTACCCCAGCGTGCCCCAAGAACTCAAAACATAGCATACAATTATATATAACACATGCATGTTGATTCGGTTGTGTCAGTATTACGATGTGTGAGCCTTGGAGCATAAATTCATCTTAAGATAACGAACTGTAAGATGGGATTCGAACCCGGTCCTGTTGCTTGAAGGACGACTTTGAAGCAACCAACCGTTTCTATGTGAAGGCAACATTATTGTGATGCGTGACATGAATATGTCAATGTCACAACAGTAAAGCAGTGTGTCGTTATAGATTCACCGATGCATTAACGCACATACACAGTCGTGACCCACACCTCCATGACGCTGATTTCTCGTTACACTTATGTCACCCAAATCAGTGGATAATCTTAACAAAACCAGGTCAAGCATGTCTGTCGCGAAACAAATGACAGTTTCAAGATGTGATCGAAAGTCAAGCTAGGTGCTCTTCGCTATGTAAAGATATACGCATTCTGATGAAATATATTGTACAAATATTTTGAAAACTGAAATCGGTGTGTATTGGTAATAATTAAGAAATTTTTAGTCGGGGATTTTGTAATAACCATGATCATGTTGTTTCTTGGGATAATGAACGAAACATGTCATCGTTAAGAAACGGTAGTGAGTTGTTGTAATTTAACACATTTAATTCTGAACAAATATTGCAAGGTAGATATGTGTAGATAGTCTCACTTGTGACACGACTGTAGGCATAAACGTGTTATCATAAATCGCATCTGTTCACCCAGCTGTTACGCTAGCCAGGGGTTGTATGAAGCCAGTATGTGTCCCTGATCCCGTTATGTGGGCTTGTTCGCTATTGAAAGAGAAACTCACAACCGGACAATGTAATAATGGGGTTTATGCTAGTACCATGAGAAGATTTAATGCAGGTGGGAGTTCACTTGTATAGCATGTTGTTGTACATCTGCGAGCAGGCTAGGATTAGAGCTGGAGTCGAAGCCTATTGTCCTAGTACCTGTCACCATTCGATCGATTTCGTTCTTGAGTGACGCCTCTACACTTGTATACAGGTACGCGAGTAGACAATACCACTCGGACATGGCCGGACGTTGGTCAGTTTAGACAATGTATGCAGGAGCACGCACTGTAAGATTTATGTTCAACGCAGGAGTTAGGAATCAGTCAAGCGGTGTGCCATTATTCTAACAAAACACTAACTTGAGCACAGGCGGAAATATTGTATATGATGTTCCCCCGTGGCGGGTTGGAGAAAGTTCACGTACGGCGATCCTGCGGTATTAACTCGATCCGGACTTATAACTATGATTTTGTTCTTCGTTGAAGAGTTTAATGTGGCGAGAGTTAGTTGGCGTCGGTAACAGAACAGACCAGCTCGTGTTAAGGAAGGCATTTGATCTGAAGGTGTCCCGTGCTGAGATAGGACTAGCCGTTGAAGGTAAAATCTCGGACAGTGGCTCTCACACCTGTGAGCAGGTAGAGTAGAGGGACAAGTGCACTCTCCTCTAATCTCAGCAGATTCGGGTGCGAGTCGTATCATATCCGTCTCGGTGTCACTTTACACAATATTGGAGATTTGGGACAAGTGTTTTTCGTTTGATCTCTGTGTTGACCTGAGATGTGTTAACGGTATATCTCCCCTACCACAGATGGGTGATACTAGCGAAGATATATTATCTCGGAAAATGTACTGATACTTGTGTTGGATTACGCGCAGAAATTTCTGCAGTGGCGCTGGGACGATTGTTGTGGTGGAGCCACGCTGTTTCCCTTCCCAGACCGGGCGCGACACCCCAGTCTTTGTGGGTGACAGATCAGACCGACTGTGCATTGGTATGTTCACTTGAGAGCGAACGGGTAGCGTTACCTTCCACAGTGGTTGGGTAGTTGATTGTAGGTGTCTCCCGAGCCTGCATTGTTCTTTCCAGTCAATGATCATAGAGTTCAGAGCGAAACAATTGCATACGGAGAGTTCTCGCATGGCAGACTAGCTAACCGCAAGAGCTTTTGCTTTCTCCCTGTCACACACTTAGGAGTGGACCATACCGTCAGAGGGATTGCCAGGGGCACACTCCCCGTCTCCTTAAAGAAGCCATCCATGAGGATGAGGCTTGGTATAGTCTCTCGTCATTGCTTGTGCATCTGTTGTACAACGAGCCCATGGATCTCTACCGTTGATGTGTTATTGCACCAGAGGACGTCTATGGATTAAGTCAGATGGTGTCTGTGTTTCCAGCAGAAATACATTGGATCAACACGATAGTCTCCCGATTTGGATATACTACCTAATTGAATAACGCAAGATGGATATCATCAAAACGGATCCCGGGGTGTTTAAAAGAAAGTTAGCATCATCGCTGTATAGTCAGTACAACAAATGTACTTCTTCGGAGTCGGAATCCATGGCAAACAGACTTTCAGAGGAACTGGACATCGAGATGAGTCGTCTTCAGGACATGATGTCCTCTCTCGAGGAGCTTGACCAGGAACTGATGGAGGACCAGCTGAACCCAAGGACTATATCAAAGCTTGAAAACAAAAAGGATATGAAAGCAAGACAATCTAAAAGGGATACCGTTAAGCACCAAGTCAAAGGACGAAGCCTTCAACAGGTAAGAGACAATATGAGATCGTATTCTCAGACGTAGCTTAAAAGTAAATCTGAAACTTAAACTTTGGTCACTGAGCTATACAAACTCATGCATGAGGCATGGTCACTGAGTATTGACTTAACTCCTTATACTGTTTTCAGTATCTCGTTGCTGTTAGGTAAGATACTAAATGTTTCTTTGCATCTGTTTATCTTAAGGGTAGTGTTTGTAGTTTTTCAGTGCACAGACACACTGTCGCCAGAGCTATTGATTTTTTGGGAGCTGTTTCTGTCAGGTGTCTGTTTACTACCGGAGAGTTCTCTAGTCGTCAAGCCAGACAACTTTTTTTCAACTCGGAGGTGTTAGGAATATAATCAGATTCCTCACATTATGGTGGACCTTTTCTTCCTCGTGACAGTGGAGTGTCCGCCGTTATTGGATTTGGCACTCGTCTAATCAGCAACTAAACATTCTCATCGTAAGGAGCGTAATAAGCCCCATCCTTTGTGAGATTAATGTTATTTTCTTCCTTAAAATAATTCCTCTCACACGTAAATGTCCGGAATACGTAATTGCGCTTTAATACAAAATAAAAATTAACACTTTTTTGTTTTCTGTCTTGCATTTACATTATAAAAAACGTCTATTGAATGAAGCAACATGCCTTGCCTCTCACTACAGTTCGCTTACAATACAGCAGTAATTTAATTTTGAATCGAATGCAGTATTGAGAATTCCCTTAACCAACGAACCATACTGTTTAAGGCAGTGCTTGGAATTAAATTGGTATCCGTCTAACCTAGTAGATTGTGCCTGTCACTATACGGGAATGGTTTTCTGGGGTTCTGTTTGTAGATCAGCACTTTCCATACATACACTCAGACAGTGATCTGTTTATGAAGACAGGTCTTTTGCATGGGGGCATGCTGTTAATTTGAGCATTGTTGTCTGTGAGGCTCTTCTTAAAGAGTTTTTGGCATATTCTCCATTGCTTTTGGGAATAGATAGTTTATTAATGTTTTTTGAAATAATGCAGGGATATAGGTTATGTCACTGAAGGTTTATTATAGAAGCATGATATATCTTTATGGGGATATGACGTCGGTGTGTGTAATTTGATTTGATGGACATCACTCAGACGGTTTTAGCATGGGAACAGCAATTAAGAGTATGTACGCTGGAACACGAATCAATAACGCTGGTGATCACCGACCGATATTCACATGCGGGAACTGCAGTGAGAAACGCTGATGGTTATCAGGGAATGATTAAACTCGAGAGAAGTGAGTGAGTCGGGTTTGAAGCCATTATTGCATTAATGATAATATATTTATGATGACGATGGCGACAAAAACAACAATGATGGTGATGATAATAATTATGCCAAACAGCATCAAAAGGATATTTCTATTGCTGCTAGTGCTAATAAAAATAGCAATCATAATAATAATATTCATCGTCATCATCAAACAGTTCATAGGAGCAAGATTATTTTTGAGAAAACGAAACTATTATAATTGCTGCTACTGCTAATAATAGCAATTATCATCATTGTCGACGTCATCATCAACGTCATCATCAAACAGTTCATAGGAGCAAGATTATTTTGTATCGCGGCACGCACCTGTGACAATAACCTACTGTTTTGATTGTTTATAAACGTATTCCTTTCTATGTAAATTGGGACATAAAGCTGTCACATGGCGGACGCACTGCTACACATCTCCACGTCCCGGCCGGACGGTACCACGCACTGTATCAGCGCTTGCCACCAAGGGGCGTGCGGACGAGGTTACCCTGTAAGGCGGCCGCACAATCAAAGTGTCATCCTTTAGTAACTTGGCTAAAAAAATGAGGACAAGCCTCCCTGCAACCATCAACGTCTTCCCTGCGCCACCACACCGGACTATTACAGTGTGTCTGTTTTATGTGGATATCTGTTTCGATTCAGTAAAACCGCAATAACCATAGGCGATAAAACTTTGAAAGTCCAATCGATTGAACTTGAATGCAGCGTTACGTTAAAAGCTAAAAACCTATTCAGTGCGTTTGTTTCACACGAGGATAAAATTCAAGTTAAGCGTGTGATTCAATTTTGAATTGGATTCTATGTATTTCTTTCTATTACACAGATTATTTTCATGAGGATACCCTTACCGAATACCATTCATTCCAACTGTCAGTGTTATTTTTCTATACAATTTACAGGACACTAACTGATGCTTAGTTTGTGATACACATTGTCAGTTTGAAGCTATCGGGGAATCAGAGTAGGCTGATGTCCTGTGTGGCTGAGTTAAGTAACTTAATGTCTTTTCATGTTTTTCATACAAGTCAACAGGGATCGTGTTTAATGGACGGTGTCTATTCATATATTAAACCCGGGTTAGCTGCCGTAGAGGCATGAATAAAGCAGTAACTGTTCCCAGGGCAATGTGCATTGCTTGTTGTTTCTGAAACAAGCATCGTGTACATAGCATGACTTTGTTCATTTCATCTCCACTCGGGGATGCTTATGTGAAAGCTATAGGAACACAAAGTGTCATTCTTATTAATATGCACTGACAGTTTTACCACGCTGTGGCTTATGCAATCAATGTCTTTGTGAGTGAGTGAATTTATTTGTACGCCGATTTTAGCAATGTTCCAGCAATATCACGGCGGGGAACACCAGAAATGGGCTTCACGCATTGTACCCATGTGGGGAATCGAACCCAGGTCTTCGGCGTGACGAGCGAACGCTGGGGTAGCCATTAAGCTACCCCACCGCCCCTCTTTGTGAGTGAGTGAGTGGATCTTGGGTAGGTGGTTGAGTTAATGAGTGCGTGTGTGCATGTTTGTGTTGTGTGAGGGAATGAATGAGTTTTAGACACTTTCAACTGTATTCCAACATAAATGCATAGCGGCACAAGAAATGGGCTTCACATATAGTACTTATGAAGGAAATCGAACCCTGGGCTTCAGCGTTCCGAGCGAAAGCTTTAACCACTGGGCTACTCCACCTCCCCTCCGATACAGAAAATAAACAAACTAATGGATAACACGGAAGAGTGTTCAGGAGTTCCTGGAGGGAGTAGGTAGAGCAACCGTCCAGTCTTACCACAACGGGTGACGTAAAGGATGAGATTCTTATATTGTAACCTTATAGGAATTCGACCCCGGGTCTTCAGTCGGACGAGTCAGCGTTTCAACTTGGCTGTCTACAGCTCATTAGAACACCAATAACCCACACATATTATATGCACTTCTATTTGTTCGAGCAACTACAGTACAGAATCAAAAAGTAAATATTCCTGGCACATATAAAGTGGTACTTCTTGTACTGTTTACTAGTTTGTGTTAACTTGGGTATCCTGTTACTTCTAAATATATAGGCTGATTATAGCTTAGTCTACTAACATAGAGTGGTGCTACCTAATAGTCTTCAATATACTGTTGCAGTTCGACCATACATCCCTGAACCACCAACGTCTCCCCTGCTGTTATACTAGACAGTACTACCCAACATCGTAGACAGTATTACCCAACATCGTAGACAGTATTATCAACATCGTAGACAGTATTACCCAACATCGTAGACAGTATTACCCAACATCGTAGACAGTATTACCCAACATTGTAGAAAATGCAATGGCATCGATGTTCATCGAGACAATCCGACATTAAACAAAAACCTATCGATGATCTTTCGATAATCCGAACAGCAGAGCCAGGATCAACAGCTTGTCACTATATATATCTATGAGAACAGCAAAAATTTATACGGGCACACTAACAATTTGAAGGGAACGAATATTATTTAAGTCTTGATTTGACATTTGATTTCCCAATGAAGTTATTCTTAGTGTAGGTAGCTCCTTAAGTCATATCAGTATAGCTGACCTGTTTGTAATGGTTCAAACAGTGGGTATAATATCTGTCTTGTCTTAATAGAAAGTACAAGCGTAAACATTTGTTCGTCCAGCTTTAGCTGGGCTTGTTTGATATAGTGTCGGAGTTGTTGCATTAAGACCACGTCTGCAGGCTATGGACTGTCTCGGCAGGGTTTAGAGACAAATTGTATATTCCAAATGTCGTAGTGAGGAATGTGTGTCGTCAGCATTTGTTGATGGTCTTTCTCCTCGGGGCTCAACACTAATCGTGGGCATTCGTCAGCATTATCCCTATCCTTCAGTTGGGAGGGATGTGCGACTATAGGCACACGTTGCGCGTTTCAGGGAGATATATTGAGTGCTTACATTTGACTCTTGATGTAACGAATTCGAGGAACTTACGTCGTTATAATCGAGTCTAAAACAATCATGAAACCTCGTTAACATGAAGTCGAACTTGACATCAAATGAATGAATTTTTGTCGAAATAAACGTAGTTCGGTATCGAGTGTCGATATACGCCCATACTGTCAATGGGGGATTCAAGCGGGTATAGAAAGTTACAACGCTTTTAACGAGAAAATGTAGTCGAGTTAGTGAAGTTTAGTTTTGAGGATGATTGTTCACTTTATTATCTTTATTGCGGCTGACTATTTATTGTACCCGTATATTTATTGGTTCATTTAATTATTCAACAAAGTCGAATATTTGAATCATGTTGAAATTTGCACTTCAAAATAAAAACATTAGTGAGTTTAGTTTTACGCCGCTTTTAACAATATTCCAGCAATATTACGGCGGGGAACACCAGAAATGGTCTCCACATGTACCCATGTGGGGAATCGAACCCGGGTCTTCGGTGTGACGAGCGAACGCCATAAACGCTAGGCTATCCCATCGACCCCCACGTTAACGTTAACATACTGTATCGGGATAAGTCAGGTAACAGTACTTTGTTCACTTGAACCAATAGTTCGACACCCTGCTTTGTTATATCCCGATCAAATTGAATCATGATTATTTACAATAGTGGTATATCATCCATCCTCGATAATCTAGTGTGTTATATCTCTGCTTTGTTTTACGCTGGACCATTCGCTATCACAACGTCGCTCTCATGTTGCCGCCTTTGGGAGACACTCCGCTAAT